CATCAGATATTGTCCAAGATTAACCTTCAGGGGGGATATAGCTCGCTAGCAGCCTCGCACCGAGGACCTATCCACGTCATCATTTACCCAGACTGCTTTGTGTGTAAATAAAATGGCCCCGTCTGTGTAATATATTTTCAAACTTTTAGTTTTAAAATTATAAAAACTAAACAGCCTACAGTATTTTTACAGTCTTTATTTTACAGTTAAAATATTTGTTTATTAAATAAAGTCTAATGTTATAACTAATCATGGATCCCTGTAAATCTTCTATTCAGAAAAACAAACAGAACAACTCTCTGGTAAACCTTCACATGCTGAGCAGCTCTAAGTGGAGGCCGCCACCGAGGCCTTCTTGTCAGTGAAGAAGCTCTTCAGCAGCATGACCTGACCCAACCCAATGGTGAAGAGCAGGACGGTCTCCCCGATGGACCAGTATGCCACCCTCTGGTGGAGGTGCTCCGCCCTGGTGCGGTCGTATGCCTCTCTGAGTCGGTACCACGTCTGAGACTCGGACACCACCTTCAGGATCTCATGAATCGCAACGCAGGACGACTCCAGCTGAGGCCAGAGAGGTAAACAAGTAAACAAAAAGGGATTTATTTACAACCCACAAAACATGGAGGCAGACGACTAGAGGATAAAATAAACTGAGCAAAGTTCTGTTGTCAGGTTCAGACGGATGAGGATTAGGAAGCACAAACCTTTTTCCTGAGTTCTGACTTTTTTCTAGGAATTCAGAAAAAAAGTCAAAATTATGACTTTTTCCTCAAAATTCTGAGAAAAAAGTCTGAATTTTGACTTCTCAGAATTTTGAAATTAAAGGCATAACTCAGGAATTTTTATTTTTATTTATTTTTTTGCTCTGTGGCCCTTATTCTCTTATGTAAATTTAACTCTTAATAAATGTGACCCATCATACTGAAATGAGGATTAAGTCAAATTTGGTCAAAATGACCTACCGTAATTGCATTTTCAGATTCCAGGTTTTAAAAGCTACATTTTGACACCTGGATCATCCTGATAGCTTAACCAGAGATATGACTTAATTTGTCTTGGTTACGATAATACATCCCTAATTTTATGTAAATTTATTGAGTAATTTTTTATGTCAATACAAAAAGGAAACCTCAAATAGTATTTGGATATTAAGAGTTCCCAGATGGAAAGAAACAAAAACATTTCTAGCTCACAGGGAAAAAATAAAAAATTTTAAGGCGTTTTTCCTCAAAATCAGTTTTTTTGTTGCTACTGCTGAAAATAAATGCTTCGAAATTTTTTTAGGATTATATTCATAAGGCTTAAATTCGTTATAATTTGACAAAAATGCAATTTTTGCACGTTTAAGTCAAAACCTTAAAACTGCCTGCTTCTCCACCTTCCACTTTTGGACTTAATCTTTGTTTGGATGGGATGGGTCACAAATATAGCCATGGTTCAATGCAGTAGTTGGATGAGTGAGAGTTGATTAGTCCTTTTTCATTAATATGAGAAACTAACTACCCAATAAAATGTTTAGTTCACACTAGAGATCAAAGATGAAGTATTTCCATCGTGCAGGAAGTGGACAAACGTTAAAATCATCTTGATCACAACCCCAGCCTGCAGCTGCATTAAGTACTCTTGGATGTCCAGGTGTCTCCTGGTCATGGCACCAGGGATCAGAGACAGTTGAGACAGCTGACTTTAATATTTTACAGTACAGTATGGTAGAAGTTGTGATGAAAGGCAGGTAATTCTCTGTTTGTCTTGCTGCATGTTAGCAAAATATCTCATGATCCTGAGGAGTTTTTAATAAAACACTCAGATACGAGTGAGAGTGTGAATGGTTGTTTGTCTCCATGTGGTCCTGTGGTGGACTGCAGACCTGTCCGGAGTGTGCCCCCCGCCGCCTGTCGCACTGTGACTGCAGACAGACCACAGCTCCTCACAACCCACAGAGGTCAAATGGTAAAGAAAATGGATGTTTATCCTCTTATTGTTCTAATAAGTCAATGCAACTCTGTCTCCACCCAGTGGACCTCCCTTAAACTCTGTTCAGCTAAATAAAACAACACCACTTATTAACTAAAACAAAACTAAAAACTTAAATTATTACGTTGAAGCGTTATATTCCTGATTAAGGTGATGTTGTGTTTGTATTTTTGTGTTCAGGGGGTTCTTTTGTTTTTCTTTTTTTTCTGTGTGCTGACTTGTTTGAAATTGATTTTATTGTTTAGTGAATAGGGGCAGATAATATAAGTTTATACTTCTTTCTGCTCCTTTTCATTCATGATTTTATTGTATTTTTTTATTCTGTACGACTTCTTTTTATAGATTATTTTTTTGTTTTATGAATGAATGAAATAAACACAATTGAAAAAAAAACCTGTGACTTATCTTAAAATTAGGTAATATTAAAAAAAAGTCTGTTTTTTTCTGACTTTATCCACTAAAGCAGTGGTTCAGTTTCAAAGACCATAAGACGATGTCCTCTGCAGGTTGTTTTGGATCACCTGTCTCAGTCTTACCTGGGTCAGTGCTGTACTTTTGCTCATCATGGTGTCCAGGAGAGGAGTCTCGTCTCTGTGGCGGAAGTCCAAATACACGATTTTATGCGTGAACGTGGAAAACTCGTTGCTGAAGCAGACCCTGTAGACCCCCTTCTTAGTTGTGGTGTGAGAAAAGCTGTCGTACTGCTTCTTCCTCTCATTGTACAGGACATTGTTGTGGGGATCAGTGACAAAGCAGTCCACGTCATAGTTACCTCCTGAAATGACCTGGAGGGGAAAAAAAACACATTATTACAGCAACAGTGGGACTCAACACATTAATGAATGTGAAACTGCAACATTTGATATATTGTCAACAATTTAAAGACACAAACTGATTTATCTTTTGATTTTCTTTTCAAATAGTAAGAGCCACACAACAATCAGGCCTAGATGAAAAAGTTTGTCTCACTTGGAAGTCTATGTTAAACTTCACATCTTTGTCCAGGTCCTCGTAGAAACACTGTTTCTGGTTGTCAGGGAGCTCAAAGGTGAGCTCTGTTCCAAACACCACGGACACACTCAGCAGCAAGCAGCTCACCCGTAAACAGAACATGGTGAAAAACACACTTACAGCCGCAGAAAGCTGCTGACATCCCCTCTGTGTTATTTACAGGGGGGGCAGATCTGACGTGGCGCCAGCACAAACGACTTCCGGTTTGTTTTATTTACTATTTTTGCTGGAAGATTAAATTTTGCTGAATGATTTCTGCAAAAATCCTCCCTGCCGTACTACATTGACAAACCAATAATAATAATTAAAAACAAGTCACGCTACAATGCAACACCTGCGGCAGATGGGGAAAAGTGAGCCTCATTTTTTCAAAATAAAGTCACAACGTTGCAAATGCGCATGCGCGAAGCTGCCGCTCTCACACGTTTCGAGGCAAACTCTGAGGTTGCTATGGACGCAGTTGAAATTAAGTTAAAAAACATGAAAATTAGGCACAAAATTAAAAATTTATCTCACAATATGCAGGCTTTCCGTTTCCTCGGCAACACGAAACTCAAACAGTAGTTTTATTCTGAAACATCCAGACACCACGACTCTACTTCCGGCTTTAGCTTAACCTTGTAAAAAAAAATAATTCGGAGCGAAGAACAAACAGATTTCTAAAAGTCGTTTCACAGACTTACCACTTAAGTTGTGTGTTGTTTTAAGAAACGAAGCAGCGTTAAATTAAAAACAGAAGTTTTAAGCTAAAGTATTTGACTTATATTAAACTGCTCAGAGTTGAGAGTTAGCTAACATCAAACATGCAAAACTACGCGGAGGCTGTTCAGGAGTTTGTAGAGAACCATGCGACTGGGCTCACAGCTGTTATTCTGACAGGTAAATCCATTTAATTATAACAGCTGGTTAAATAAACTATTGTTATATTGTTTATGTTATATCAGTAACTGCTCCAGAAAACGTACAGTTATTATAGTCCTTTTATTCTTAACCCAACAACACAGGTTTAAACCTGTATTACAGGTAATGTTAAAGGTGTGTAATAACACGCTACTAATAATAATAGTTGTTGATATTTAGAGGTTTAAATAGAATGAAGAAACAGGCACAAAAAGCCATCTCTGTTTAATTAAACAGGTTGTATCAAAGAGATACTCAGATTTATTTTTCTTTCCTCACCAAGAAAACAAATGAATATAAATTCAGGAGCATTAAATAAACCGTGTCACAGTTTGTGATGTTTGTTAACTGTGTAATTGTGTGTTTTTCTTCCTGTCAGGGGTGGGTTTGCTGGCCTTCAGAAGATGGATGGCTGGAGGTGTGTGTCGGAGCGAGGCCAGGCTGGAAGGAAAAACGGTCCTGATTACAGGAGCCAACACTGGCATCGGGAAGGAGACAGCTATGGACATGGCTCAGAGAGGTCAGTGTGCTAATTGTGCAATAATGATGTGTAACCGCCCGTTAAAATAAATTATATCAGTGTAGCTAAGTTTTTAAATGTAACAGATTTCCAACTCATTTTCACTGAGAATTATAGATGGAGTTCGTCAACTTTAACATTTTGTTTTTAACTTCAACTAAAAACATGAAACATCACAAAGAAAAAAATTGTATAGGTCCTCTGGACGGGTTCTTCTCTAATGAAACGTTTCGTCTCTCCTCCAAGAGACTTCTTCAGTCTGAGAGTTTCAGGCAAAATTCAGGCTTTTAAGCACTGCCTCCATGTGACTGATACTCACATCACATGGCTATCGTTGACACCTAATTAACACCTATTGTTAACAGGGGGTGGAGTGATACTGGCAATGGCAGCGCTGTAGGAGGGGGACAACTGAAAACGGAGGCCTCCACCTCTGTTTAATGATGGACGGTCTTTCTTCACAAAAATGGCTTCTTTTACTCCTCTCTCAAACCAACGTTCCTCTCTATCAAGAATGAGAACATCCTCATCTCTGAAAGAGTGACCGCTGGCCTGTAAATGAGTGAAAACTGCAGAGTTCTGGCCATTAGATGTAGCTCGTCTGTGTTGGGACATTCTTTTGAACAGTGGTTGCTTTGTTTCCCCGATGTATAACTGGTCGCAGTCCTCCTGGCACTTAACAGCATATACAACATTGCTCTGTTTGTGCCGGGGCACCGGATCTTTGGGGTGAACCAGCCTTTGTCGTAATGTGTTTTGGGGTTTGAAAGCCACTGGGACATCATGTTTAGAAAATAAACGTCTCAGTTTCTCCGGAACACCCGCAACATACGGAATAACCACTGGTTTGGGTCTGGGTTTGGGGTCTTCATTTTCACCTGAAGGTTGCATGGAGTCCTGTCTGTGTTTCCTGTCTGCTTTCAGGAAAGCCCAGTCAGGATAACCACACTGCTCCAGGGCCTGTCGTGTGTGTGATTTCTCTTTCTGCCTGGCTCCTGGGTTTGTAGGGACACTGTCTGCTCTGTGGTACAGAGTCCTGATCACTCCTAACTTGTGTTCCAGTGGGTGGTGGGAGTCAAAACGCAAATATTGGTCTGTGTGGGTGGGCTTACGATACACGCCAGTTTCCAACCGTCCTCCATCCGAAACAGAGACATCGCAATCCAGGAACACCAACCTGCCATTTTTTACATCCTCTCGTGTGAACTTAATATATTCATCCACAGAGTTGATGTGATCAGTGAAATGTTGGACTTTCTGCGCTTTTAATCTTGCACAGACCATGTGATGTGAGTATCAGTCACATGGAGGCAGGGCTTAAAAGCCTGAATTTTGCCTGAAACTCTCAGACTGAAGAAGTCTCTTGGAGGAGAGACGAAACGTTTCATTAGAGAAGAACCCGTCCAGAAGACCTATACAATTTTTTCTTTTTGATTTTTTACCTGGATTACTGAGATGCATCAGGACATGAAACATCACATTCCTCATGTTATGGCTATGACTGAGCACAGCTAACAAACTATGAGCTCTACGTGGTATTTCCTGCATAGAAACATAATTTTAACATCTTGTAAACACTGAAAAGTACTACGTGTATGACTGACTAAATGTAAAATAAAACATAGAAATACTATTAAAAGTAAACATAGAGTTTTTACTCACTGTTGAGCTGTGGTGAGTAGCTGCCATCTTGAATTCTGAACTTTCTCACTTTCCAACAAGGCATTTTCACCAGAGGGGCAATCCAGTTTAAACTGACTTGTAAAACAGCAAAAGTAAAACACTTATTTGACATCATTAATACATTTTTAAAGTGCCTGTGACATACATTTCCTTCCCTTTTTTAAATAAACTAAAGATTATTTTTGATTGAATTTATTTATTTGAGAAAAAGYTGCAGATATAATAAGATTTTTTCTTCTTCTGCTACCTTTCATTTAATTTATGATTTGTATTTTTGTTGTATGTTGAATTTATGTTGTTTTTTTTAAGAAATGAATAAACGAACTGAACTGAACTGAAATAAAAAAAAGTCAAAGAAAACATTTTTATTGATAAGAAACGTTGACCCGTTGTGTCATATAAATGACAAACTTTCTTTGAATTTGGCTCAAAGTGAAACAGGAAGTGACATCAAAGGGGAACTCTTTAAGAAAGAAAGCTCCCACTTGTTTATTGACACAATAAACTCTTCTTTGTTTCTCTTTAGTGACTCAAAATAATCTAAAGAAACATCCAGTTCTTCTCTAGTCAGCGTTGTTAGCCTTTTTAATCTGTTAATTTTCAGACATTCCCCTTCAACATCACTTCCTGTTACCACAAATGTGAAAATATCAACAACTGTTCATCTCAGCGGTGTGAGCAGAACCTTTGTAATATGTTATTCACGTTATCTTTCCTAAAATGCATTCATATTTATTACAGAAATTTCATGTCACAGGCACTTTAACCTCTTGTGGGCCACATAAAATACAGTAGCAGGCCACATTTGGCCCGCAGGCCTTCAGTTTGACACGTTCCTTAAGAGCTGCAGTGACTAGTATTTTGCCAGCATTTTCTCTGGAGTCAGCATGTGGCTATAAAACAACACTAACACAGTTTTACTTCCATGAAGGGGCGAGAGTAATCCTGGCCTGCAGGGATATGACCAAAGCCCGGTTGGCAGCAGATGAAATTCGTCAAAAGAGCGGAAATGGCAACGTGACGGTGAAGAAACTGGACCTGGCTTCCCTGCAGTCCGTCAGAGACTTGGCCAAAGATGTCCAGCAGAATGAGGAGCGCCTGGACATCCTGATCAACAACGCAGGTCTGCAGGTCTTTCTCCTCCATTCGTCTGCAGCGGCGATGTGTTTTTTCCTCCAGCCAGCAAACCGTCGGTTACATTTGATCTTGTTCTTGTTTTATTCTCAGGCGTTATGATGTGTCCTAAGTGGAAGACGGAGGATGGGTTTGAAATGCAGTTCGGTGTGAACCACTTGGGACATTTTCTCCTCACCAACTGTCTCCTGGATTTGCTGAAGAAATCTTCTCCGAGTCGCGTCGTCGTCGTCTCAAGCCTCGCACACACGAGAGGTCAAAAGTTTTTATTATCTCTCTTTATTTTTTTTGTAAATATCAAAGATTACAACATGTATGTCTTATCGGTTATTTGTTTTTATTTTATCAAAGTTTATTTTGTTACAAAAACCACGTCCTGCAGGTAAAATTCATTTTGACGACATTAACCTGGATAAAGACTACAGTCCAGAAAAGAGCTACCGCCAGAGCAAGCTGGCAAACGTTCTCTTTGCCAGAGAACTGGCTGCAAGGCTGCAAGGTAAGCACCCAGTTAAAACCACACACATGTCGTTGTTTCAGTGTCGTTCTCTCAGCGTTAACATCCGTTTGGTGTTTCATGGCGACATATTTGACCCCGTCTTTAGGCACCGGTGTGACCGTGTACAGCCTTCACCCCGGGGTGATCCGCACAGAGTTAGGCCGCCATCTGTTCCAAACCTGGGCTCTGTGGAAGAGGGTCTTGTTTTCACTCCTCATGTTTTTAGTCAAAAATCCCTGGGAAGGAGCCCAGACCACCATCTACTGCGCTGTGGACGAGAGCGCTGCGAACCAGAGTGGCCTCTACTACAGGCAAGCAATTACTGACTGTAAACAGGAATTATATCCTGTTATATGTGACCCAACGTATCGAAAGTCAAATTTGGTCAAAATGACCAAATTACATTTACAGATTCTTGGCTTTAAAAGCTACATTTTGATACCTGGATCATTCTGATGTAATTAAATCCATATAAATGACTCAATTTGTCTTGTTGGTTACAATAATACATACATATTTGATCTGAATCCTAATTTTATGTCATTTTAATGAGGAGTTTTTGATGTCCTTGTAAAGAGGAAACCTCAAATTATATTTGAATATTGAGGTTTCCCAGCTAAAAAGAAACAAAACTTTGCTAGCTCACAGGGAAAATCTRAAAATTTTAAGGCGTTTTTCCTGAAAATCAGTTTTTTTGTTGCTACTGCTCAAAAAAGTGCTTGAAAATTTTGTTTTATGATTAAATTTCAGACAGTTCATTCAAATGATACATTAATAAGGCTTTTATTTATTATACTTTGACAAAATGCAATTTTTGTTAACATTTTAATCAAAACACTATATTTGCCTTTTTCTCCATTTACCACTTTTGGACTTAATCCTCGTTTCGATGTGATGGGTCACATATATGTTACATTCTGTTGTTTTTCTCCTTTATTTCAGGCTGTATCTTTTATTTCACAAACCTCTTTGAAAATTTCAACTGTTTACCTTTCTTTATTTTTATTTAGTTTATATTTTGTCTTTCTTCGTTCAGTGATTGTGCCCCAGAAACGCCGGCGCCTCAGGCTCTGGATGACGCTGCAGCCAAGAGGCTGTGGGACCTCAGTGCCTCCATGGTTGGACTGGTTTAAACCCAGCAGCTTGCAGCTCTTCTACTTCATCCACCCCTCCTGCTATAGAGTTAGTATTTCTGTTTGAATGGATGATTAGTGCACTTACATTTATCAAATCAATTATCGAAGAGCTTAAAGATTTGCAACTCAACATTTGCACTATTTACTCTTTATATATATAAAAATATGAATGTGCTGTGGTGCTTTATTTGCTTACTGAATATATTTTCCCCACTGAAACACAAGACACTCAAGTCTTTAAAATGCTGCATTTATTAATGTTTTTTTAACAATATTCACTAAAGTAACACTTTAAGCAATTTGTGTCAACATAATCATATATAGTCATGGTGTCCTGATACCAGCTTTTAAATAAATAAATACAAAATTAATAATAAATACAAAATGCCTCGATACTCTGACCCAATACAATACCTGTATCTACACTCCACTGAATGTGTCACAGTTTGTTTTACTGAAGTTTGTCCGCTCAACGTTTAAAGAAAATAGTTATTTATATTTATTTTAAAATGTTTCAACAGTATATTATGGAGCACCAAAATTGACATAATTAAAAATAAAAGCAGAAATATATAAATGGCCCAATAAATGAATAAGTACACTTAAAATGAACCAACTAATTTAAAAACAGAGAACTTTATCTTGTTTTATAATTTAATTGACCGTCATATTTATTTTTCCAGCTTAGTCCCAAAAAATGATAATTTTAGCACATAATTTAAATTTGACTGCATTTACCAAAACATATTATATTAAATTTATTTTATTAATTAATTGTTTTACTGTTCAGTTTTTTCCTGCTCCTTTCTCTCTATTGACCAGTAGTAGAGGAGTGGACCCAGGAAGGACCGCCCACCTAATTTGCATAATGAAGCAGAAATTCATAAGATAAAATTACAACAGGAGACAGAGAAATGGAAAAACATGTGGAAATAAAGACTTGTGAGGGAAAAAAACAGTTTAAAAAAGTAAATACTAGGGCTGTGAAATTAATTGAGTTAATTCTGATTAATTTTAGTTCTGCATGGGCATAGATTAAAATAGCAATTAAAATTTATAATCACTTTACTGTGGCTGAATTTGTAGGTTTGTATATTACAATGCACTCAGTGCATGCCAGGTCATGTTTGTAAATGAGAAGTGGTTCTCAAACAGTTTACCTGGATAAATAAATAAATAAAAATAAAAATATCCATGTGTAACACATTATGTACGTTTTTTTTATTTTTTTTGTCTTCTTGTGGCTTATTTTATTTTATTTATTTATGTTTTGCTGACAACTGTGACATAGCATCTATCTTTCATTCCTCATGTAGTACTTATAGTAGTAGTATGTAGTAGTAATAACTCAAGTAATTTATTTCACTGATATTCAATAAAGTTTTATATTAAGTTTAAGATTAATCGTGATTAATCGTGATTAATTCACAGCTACCTTGGAATTAATAGATTAAAATTTTTAATCATTTGACAGCCCTAGTAAATACAAAAATACAAAAAAAAATTAACAGACTCAAATGCATCTACAAGTAAAAAGGAAAAAACAAATATACATTTTTAAAATGATAAAATTTAAATTATGTGCTAAAATATATAATTTGTTGGAACTAAGCTGGAAAAATAAATATGATGGTCAATTAAATGATAAAACGAAGTAAAGTTGTCTTTTTAAAAATTAACTAGTGCATTTTAATGTATTTATTTATTGAGCCATCTATATGTTTCTGCTTTTATTTTAAATTATGTCAGTTTTGATCCTCCGTAGAATATGTCGTGTTTATTTGATTTGATCCAGTCAGAGGGCCAGAGCTGTCGGCCTATAAGGAAGGAGACACACTTTGTTCTAAATAAAGCCGTTTTTAAAGTCATTCTGTAATATTTACGCTCTACTTGGTATCGGTACTCGGGATCCGTGAGTATCTAAACTGAAGTACTTGTACATGGTTTGAGGAAAAACTGGTATCGGGACACCCTTAATTTGAAGCAATAGGTTGTGTTTTATTTAAAGGAAGTGACCTTTGACCTGCACTGAATGTGGTGCGGGGATTGTTACAGAGGATGTGGATCCTCTTTGAGGTGTAGAAAGGGAAAGTGTGTGTCTGTGTGTTTGCGCTCTTGTTTTTGCTGCTTGGTGGGGACAATTTCTCAGGAAAATGCAGCCTCATGGGGACCGAATGCACCTTGTGGGGACCAAAGCCCGGACCCCACAACTTCGGAGGCTGAATTTGCCTCCGAAGTATCAGAGTGTTTTAAATTATGAGGGTTTTTTTCTGTTATGATGAGCATGTTTTGTTCTTGTTTTTTTAATTAAAGACAAGCTGTGAGTGAATCTGTCAGCTGCATGAAAACTCACAATGAGCTCAGTCTGCAATATTTTTGTCAATAAAAATAATAAAACGTGGCTTTTTTTCTGCCAGCCTTTATTGACTATGTGAAAATAGTCATAGGTTTAAAATCTGGGTTTGAATGATGTCCAAACATTTAAGACTTTCAGGAAAAAGTGAAATAAATTAAAGTTGTATTTTTCTGCAGCATAATGTTGTTTTGAGCTCCTAATGTGAAGCACAGTTAGGAAAAAAAACACAGCTTTTCCTGAAAGTTTTAATTCAGAATTAAATCATAAACTGCTCGAGTGTTTGGAAAGATATAACAAAAACACAGTAAATTTACTAAGTTAATATATATTTATTCTCTCAAAGCAAAATTTTGAATTATTTGCGAATCAACACCTTCCTAAAATAATCTCTTTTTTTTTTTTTCTAATTTGTCAAGAATCACAAAAAGTTCATATGGTACATTTTTTTTTGTGTTTCCTGAAAAACGGGTGTGGATATTTCAATGTTCCCGTATGGAGTTTGAACACTACCCTACGTATTATTTTCTAATATTTTGTCAGTAAATACGATATATAGTTTTTGTTTAGCTTTTTTTGTACTCACGTAGCCATTGAAATGTCAACTCTGTGGCCAAGAAATGACGTTAACATGAAGGTTAGCGTCACTGAACTCACTCACCCTATTAGTAACCTCACACACCGGTTATTCCATACGCTGCGTACAGTTAGTTACGTTAGCCATGCTGTGTCACTCTTTTGGTTTGCAGAAACCGTAAGCATTGCCTTATAGTAGCACTAAATTATAAAACAAAAAGTTTGAGGATTTAAAATAATGTTTGGCATTAAATGTTGCATAATAGCGTCAAAAAAAGCAGCAATAAACAGCTCAGATCAACTCTTTCGGCAAAAATACAAATAAACCCAAGGACTGCTCAGAGGTGCCCCTGACCCACAGGTGTCGGCTCTTCAGGACCTGTCGGTAATGTCATGCACATGCCCTTATCAGTTCTCCGTCCAACGGATCCAGAATCTATAGCTGGGCTGGAAAAGTGATAAGGAGATGTGAGCGACCACAGAACCACAACAGCATCAAAACTCCACCGTACCGCCACTAAGAGTGCGATATTTTGTGAAGAAACATGACATGAAAGTATCTGCAGAGTTTTATAATTAAAAAAAAACTCATCTTTTTTCCTCCCACTTCCAGCCTTGAAAGAATAAAAAAAACAAAACAAATAAAAAGCAGCTCCTGAGGTTCGAAGCAGAACAGATTTGTTCCGGAGCGTCCCACCTTTCAGCCGGCGAAGACAGAAACCCTCCCTGCCAGCTCCTCAGATTCACAAGGACTGGTGGGGTTCTGACAACCGGTCCCAGTTGGTTCCAGCAGCAGCCCTGTGCTGGTTCTGAGTGCTGACAGGTTTTTAAGACACACCCCATTGATGAGTTTTATTCCACTGGAGCCCCGCCTGGCTCATGGAGAGTTTCTCCTCCGCCATTGGTCTGTGCTCAGAACTCGCCTTACCTGCCCCCCAGGCTTTAGAGGACTTGAGCCAAATACTTTGTGTAGATGTCAGTCATGGGGGGGGGGGTTCAGGTTCAGAGGGGTGTGTTTCCCCACAGGTGTGGCTGAGAAGTACATTCCAAAGCGCACATACCCGTCAGCTTCTCTGGTGTTGATCTAAGACCCTCGATGACCATGTGCCCTCCTCTTCAAACGGAGGAAGAAGGTAATAACTGCTGTTTCATGCAGACACACGTCTATCGTCAGCGTGCCGTTGAGTTTTTTCTGATTTCCTTCCAAAGGACACCACTTCCTCCTGGTGCCGCTGGCATCCATTCAATAACAGTGTTGTTGTGGACAAAACCGAAGCGGCGACACTTCTGCTTCATACACGAGACAATGAGCCGTGTTGCAACGTGAGAGCAACATGGCGAACGAGGGCCAGCTCGGGGTTTTCTAGGAACAGCAGCTGAATTTCAGCACACACCCTGACGATCTGGCATCAGTTAGTACAGGTGCAGGCAGTGGCATGTACTCCCCCGCCTCCTCCACCACCTCGGTAAAGAACTTCAGATCATCTGCGCTTGTTTTCGCCCTCTGGAGATCGTAAAGCCTCAGAGAATTCTTCTCGTCTGCCCTGTTGGTATGCAGGTGTTTCTCTCTCTCTCCCTAATCCAGTCATTTCCCCGTATCTTTTTCTTTCTGCCCTCCACCTCTTTGTCCCCTTCTTTTTTTTTTTAAAGCCGGAGTACAGACGTGAACATCGTCTGCCTCAGGCAGGTGTGAAAATGCAGATGAGCTGCTTTTGTAGGTCCACAGAGGAGCAGGATATTGGGCCATGCCGTGACTACCTGTAGACGAGTCTGTGCCTGTGTTGAGCTGAGTCAGAGCAGCCACAGTGACTCAGGTGACTCCATTCACACACACAGTGCGGCTGCACACTTCATTAGTCACCTGAACCGTTAATCACGCAAATGATGGCCGAATCTAAATCTCATTAAAGGCAAGACCCTTAATTATGACTCTGATTAGTTGTAACATTAGACATTATTTGATAAAGGTTTACTTCAACTATAAAAACCAGACTAAAATAAAAATACCGTCGGCTGTTTAGCTTTCATGTATTAGCTCCTGGGCTAAATATGGCATTAGCTCTAGAGTTAATTTAAACTGAATATGGTGTTAGCTCCCAAGCTAATGTATGTATGGTGTTAGCTTCTGAGCTATTAGCTCAGGAGCTACAGGTCCTTCTCAAAAAATTAGCATATTGTGATAAAGTTCATTATTTTCTGTAATGCACTGATAAACATTAAACTTTCATATATTTTAGATTCATTGCACACCAACTGAAGTAGTTCAAGCCTTTCATTGTTTTAAAATTGATGATTTTGGCAAAAAAGTAAAGAAAAACCAAAAATCCCTGTCTCAAAAAATGAGCATATCATGAAAAGGTTCTCTAAACAACTTATTAACCTAATCATCTGAATCAACAAATTAACTCTAAACACCTGCAAAAGATTCCTGAAGCTTTTAAAAACTCCCAGCCTGGTTCATTACTCAAAACCACAYTCATGGGTAAGACTGCTGACCTGACTGCTGTCCAGAAGGCCATCACTGACA